AAAAAGACAGAAAAGAAGTGGGGGGGGGGGGGAGAAAGAAACAAAGGGTTTCCCTTCTCTTTTTCCCCATTAAATTGTCTTTCATATCCTCGCTTGGCTTCCACACCCCAAGTTTAAAGGTGTTTAGCTAGTGGTGTGCCTGTCATTACCTGCTCTGTGTGACTTAGGAGTTTTAGTAAAATTGAAACTCAAAAGGCTTCATAAATGTGGAACAGGGCTGCCGCTGTTAGTGGTATTAGAAGACCTAGCACATTGCTGGTACTTGACTAATAATAAATAATAGCAACAATGACAAAAGAGATGACTGATTTGAACGCAGCTCTGTGCCCTGTATAGGATGGACCGTAAAAGATTCTAATGTAGCAGTTTGTGTAGTTGTTCGGAGATCAATAACAGTCCCGTAAATTTACTTTACTGTTTCTCTCGGTGAACAAGGATACATAGCTTAAGAAGAAGATTTATTAGTCAGTGATCTACAGCATAACCTGAGGTGGCACAATAGTAGTATTTTCTATTAATGCACTAAATTATAGGGATAGCAAACAAATGTGTTTGGTGTGTACTGAATGACTATTATTAAAGTAAAATACAACAAAAATTGGAATAGTACTTCCTGAGAACCAGAAAGATGCACTTCATATTTTGTAGTACATATCTTTTCTTAGTTCTTGGTTTGGGGACTGATTAAAACCTGGTCATTAGCACCTGACAGTCCTACCTGGAGTTAGCCAAAGCAAGACTCTCCTAAGCTGGTCTTTCCTCTGTGCCTGTTACTCCGTGTGCCTGATGCATACTGCTTTTTATTGAGGAGTCTTTCTTGTGGACCAACTACGGAGAAGGTGTGAAGATGAATTTTGGGAAGGACTTTGGTAGGCTGTCAGTGCATGAACAGTTTTAATAATAAAAATGTTAAAAACATAACAATGGTTTTGTTCTTGTTGGTTGATTGCAATAATATTGCAAAGTGAAAGTAGAATCTTGATCCTAACCTCCACCTCCCCAGGACTAGACTAAAGACTTTTACCATTGTTGCAGTGAAAAATCTCTCAGCACCAACTCAATTTGGTTAAGAAAAGAGGGTAAAAGCATGAATAGGGTTGATTTCCTTAAGCAGTTTAGCACGCTGCTGATCACAGAAGTTAAAAAAAAAAAAAAAAGCCAATCAATATTCAAGTAGGTAACAAACCCGCCTTTGTGAAATGGGATTTTCTTTGTATAGCACGAAGAAATAATTCCATCCATAAAGCATTTACAAGAGATATGAGACTGTAAAGGATCTCCTGAATCTTTGAATCCAGACCTAGCTATTATGTGACTACATTAGTAAAAAATATGTTAGTAATGTGATTTGTATATATTCTGCATGAACACATGAAGTTTCATCTTAAAATTAGCATTACTCTTGTTGTGCTCTGTTCCAGGATCCTGCTTTACTGAAGGTTGGATACAATCATATCGTTAAATGTTTGTCACACTGAACATTTTAAATGTATTTTTATATGTTTTTGAACACAGAAAAAAACCCCAAACACAACGTAACCATGACACAAAGTAGCTATTATGTCCATTATAAAAGACATTTGTATTGCTGACGTTGGAAAGGAGGGTGCAATCTTCAGACATCCATGCCAGTATTTTGGGTAACAACATTTTTATTGAAAAGTAAAACCAGGATTGAGCTTTGTTTGGTTGACTATTTTTTATTTTTTTCCAAATAGAAAGTTCCAAAAAGGAGTCCAAGTGAGTGCTATAAATTATTTTATAAGACAACTGTAGGTTGTATATTACAAAACAACTAAATGAAACTAACCAGAAAGCCTTGGGATTAAGCAGATGAAAAGACCATTCCAGATGGAAAAGAGCTCAAGAGCCAGAGCTGCCCAGAGTCCAGAATGCTCTGTCAAAATTAGGTTATATTAGTGTAGTCTTGAAAAGGAGGTTTGGAAAAGAGGCAGAGTTGAGACAGCAGTTAAACTGTGTTTGACAGGCTAAATGGAATACATTTCCTAGCTCCAAATGGCTGCCCAGCGCTCCTGTAACGGGTTTTTTGCTCAAAGCATAACGAGAAGAGAACAGGGAAAATTATTTCATTTGTCCAGACTATAATCAATCACTTCCAGGAAAAGAAGTCTTTCGTGATTTTCCAGCAGCAATACGAGTTGTTAAATATATTAGTTAGTTGTACAAGTTGCCTTATGAAAGAAAAAATGAAAAGTTATTAGAGAAACAAGTAAGATGCACAAAATTAATCTGTAAATGTATAACTATTCTTAGTCATTCTGCTGTCTTTGTGCCTCGATCCATGCCTTTTTTTTCTTTATTGTCTCTAAACTGCCAGTAGCCATAAAAGCATAAAAGCAATAGGAAGGATGGAGAAGTCTCAAAAGAAAAGGGATTTTTCATCTGGCAACATGTCCAGCCTCAAAGCCATAAAGACCTTTCCTGAAACTTTAGGATTGCAAAAGCTTACTGAGTTTTGCCAGATTATTTTATTTGCTTCTGATGGAAATTCCCTAATGGTACTGGTGGTTTCTGGACAGTGATATAAATGATTACACAAGGTGATGGTAGGCAAATGATTAAAAAGTACTCTGCACAGCTATAATATCCAAGAATTTCTGAGTACCTAAATCTGTATTGTCTTATCTAGTCAGGAGAATATTATCACCCCCAAATTTAAACAGCAGGGAAGCTGAATCACAGGAAAGTCAGTCTTATTCCCATTGAAATCAACGTTATAATGCCTGGACACTGCCTTTGGTGTATCGGTTGCAAGACTGAACCCAGGATAGTAAGGATTTGATTTTGCATGCCTATGTGCACTTAAAAGAAAAGGGTAGAGAAATTGTCCTTTTTTGTGTGTGTGTGCTGCATGCTCTGAAAGCCACTTTACTCAGGGAGCACAAGAACAGGTCCAGTGCTTCTACCTTTCCTAGACTCTTCAGGGGCTTGGATGGAGGAAAAAGATGATGAGCCCAAACTAATCTCCCCAAGTCAAAAAAAAAAAAAAAAAAAAAAAAAAAAAAAAAAAAAAAAAAAAAGTTAGTGGGTGTGCTAATTATTACCTTCCAGGAGTCATTTGACATCCAGGAATTTTCTACAGGCAATATTGTGTCTAACACAAAACTCTGATATTTTGCAAAGACTCTCTGGAAGGTCCCCTGCACAGATTAGTATCAGGTAAATTTGTTACTGAAGCAGCAATGAATGGATGGAGTCTCAGCTGTGGTCCTGAACATGCCTACACGGTGCTCTCCTGCTTTGCAGGAATCAGGAAAGCCGTCTCTTCTCCTATCGTTCTCCTTTCAATGCCACCTGAATCAGTCTGTTATCTTGGAAAAGACTAGGTTCTTTAAGTCAGTTCACAAGCGGATAGCTCTAAAGTGTAGATTTAGGTATTATGTAGCTACGTGTCAGTTTTATGGACATAATCCTTCAGTTTTAACTGAGCTTTTTAATTTCACCTAAAAAAGAAGCCAACTGAATTCTTCCAACCCCATTTAATTCCCATCTCTGTGTGCAGCTTCACTTTATGTTTCTTATAACAAAAAGGCTTTTAAAGTTGATAAATGGCTGCAAAGATTTGGCTTTTACTTTGTTGCTTTTCTGTTTATTTAACCACGAGCAGTTCTTTTAGTCCTGACCTCAGCCTTGTCAAATAGACTGTGTTTGTCAAACCGCTCATGCTCCCATTAACTCCTAGCTGTTTCAATTGTCATGTTTGATGAATGGCTCAAATACTGCTAGCATCATTAAAAGTAGGGATACTGAGGGAAGTATTATGTTATACTGAGTCCAAATACACACCATAAATAGGAAAATTCTAAGCAAAGAAAATCTTTTATTGCATAAAGGAAATTGCAAGTGGTTTAAAACTAATCTCTTTTAATGCCATCTTTCATATGTGCAGGAGACAAGAAAAAGCCCCTCGGGTTTCATGGTTGGTATTATCTCTTTATGGTTAAAGAACATTAGTAGCTTTATAACCCTATTTATGCAGAGTTCATGCGAGTGTTTGGGTCTGCTTGGGGGAACGGGCCTGCTTAGTGTGAACAAAAGCGACAGAACCGTTCCCACAGTGCTCTGTAGGTCCAGAGGGTCTGTCCCTTCCCAAAACAGAGCCTGCTGTTTCTGTAAGTCAGGGCTTCCTCTAAACGAAGCTACGCAGCACAATTATTACACGTTATTTCCCCCTCCTAGGCTGACGGAGGCACCGCAGCTCCGGGGTGCACGGTGCTGGGCGTCCTGGCCCCCATCCAGCGGTGCCCTTGGCTCTGCCTGCCTGAGCAGTAACCACAGCTGAGCTTTCTCTAATGACCTGCCGGTAAAAGCTGCGCGAGTTCAGGCTTGCGAGGGTCTGGCAGAACTCGGTTCTCCGGTTACGCTCAAGCTAGTGTTTCAGTTTATATTGTCTGGTGCTCTTGTCTGCCCTTTGTCGTACTTACAGCAAGTAAGTGCTAGCAAGAAGCAGAGTTCAGGATTAGTGCTGGGAAGTTGGGTAATGGCTTCAGCAGAAAGAATAAATATTTTTGTTATTGTTGATGTTGTGTTGTTGTTTTGAATGCTGGGCTTTTTTTAACTGTTGAAGTCTACCTAAAGGCCAAAGAACTTCTGTTCGGGTAATTTTTTACGTTTTTGAGGCAGATAAAATTATTCAGATTAATATTTATACAGATACATTTAAACATGCAAAGTTATACACTTCTAGACTGATGGCCTTGTTATGCTTATTAGGCTCAAGACAGTTACTGGGGGGGGTTTATGATTTTGTTTAAAAAAAAAATTGTAATTCTAACTATACGTGCATATACGTATAGGTTGGTTCTAATATTCCTGAGTGTTACTCATGTGGAATTTTCATCATGAATAAGTACACTGCTGCAGTATATTTTTCCTGGATGGTGATACAAACCATTACAATGAGGACAGCAGACAAACCCTTAAAGCAATTCTGAAATGGCAGCAGAAGTAGGTCCTCAAAGTTTATGTTTTCCCAAGCTACAGCAGCACATCGTGGGTTTTTTCCTTAGTAGAAGATAGAAAGGATTTATTGATCTCAGTCTTTTATGAAAGATGGAGAAAGCAAAGCAACTTCCAGTTGTGTCAGAAACTATATCAGCCAGCGTTTGCCTCCGGTGAGTGTAACTCTGCCTGGTCGCTTGAGTGCAAACAATGGCAGAAACAGTCTCTCTGCTATCGCAGCTAACTCAAACTTTAGTTTTTGAAATGATCTTTCTAAAACTTTAGTTTTAGAAAAACTTCAGTTTCTAAACTTCAGTTTCAGAAAGATGATGCAGGATGTCAGTTGCTGAGCTTGAGGCATCATTGCCCTAAGTTAATTTTTTGCATCACAGCCAAAGAATAAATGTAAAGGTGTAGCGAGAAGCATCAATAGTTAATGGATTCACTTACGTCCTTTTTCCCTTTCTTAGATGCCCTAAGCAGCAGAGCGCAGAGGTGGGCTGTGGGCTTCCAGCAACTTACCGCTGCCAGGGAGGATGGGAGCGTGGGCAGCTAGCTCCGCAGAAGCCGTGGTCCTGACAGCACCTGGTGTATTCGAACCACCCCTCTCACCCCACGCACCCACTGGGTGAGTGATAACATTTGTTATTTGCTCCCAGGTGGAAAGGTGCTTCTCTTTGTCTGGACTAGATTACGCAGGTTTGTACGTATTTAGATTGCAGTGATCTGGATGTCAGCTATATAAACTTATTCAACGCTTTTCATCCAGACAAGCCCTGAAATGGTATTACTGTATATAATCATGAATGTGTGTTCCTTTCCTGGGAGGCCTCAGGTACCTGATGTTTGTTGCCTAGGACCCTAAATATATATTTGGTTTCTTAAATAGTTGTGGGCGTTTTTTTAATCAATGGAGTTCATCACAGTTCTTTTGTTATTCACTGAGTGATAGTACTGTTAATGAGCAAAATACTTTCATTAGAACAAATACTTTTTTCAGCCTCAATTGTATTCTTGTTTCTGTCTGTACCAGAATTAAATATTAATCAAAACAAAGTAGGAAAGCTGCAATCATTCCCTGATGAGGCTTCCTGCATTTTTAATCACGATTTGTTGGTGTCACTGGTTTTCTGTTACTCTCAGGAGTACTGAAACCTACAGAATATGGACTCATTTGATTAACCACATTTGAACTGAGCCTATAGGAACAGGCCCTGTATTTAATATTGCTTTCTATGGAACAGGATTATAACCATCAGGGTAGCTGCATCTCAGAATTAAATACAAATATGTACTATACATAGGTAGGTACTGAGCCCCCAACCCACACTTGCTCTCCCACTAAAAATCCGTGAGACCGGCATTTATGAGAAAATAGACTCGGAGGTCTGCAGGCTCAGCTGGTCTCTAAAGAAACGTGATCTTGACCTGGAAAAGTGGGATTGGAGATGTCAGTATCTGCACACTTGTTAAATCAGTGAAATGAAGAATTTGGCTCATAGTTCACCGAAAAGGCATCAGCAAGGTTAAAGCAAAACATAAGAAAAAGCTTGTTTGCTATGCCCCCTTGTTCAGCATATAAATGATACTGTCAGGAGTTCTGAAGTGAGCGCTGCAGTCTTTTCCTGGAAAGCATCATTGGCAGAAAAATAATTTTCAGCAGAACTCAAGAACTGAGGGGAAAAAAATGGTATAAATCAGTTAACAAGTTGACCCACAGGCAGCCAGACTAAAGAGGCCTCATTTCCTATGGATTTCTGTCTCTTCAGCCTCATGGTCTGCTTTCCAGCTCTCCACCACCACCAGCCCTCCCTGTCCTTCGTGCCTCCAGCACCTGGCAGGAAGGACTGTATGCGTGGCCAGGGCAGCGCTGCTGCGTACACGGTCCCGGGCTGCCCCCATTTTGCACAGGACTTGTAAGAACTTGACAGTCGTTGAGACCTCTGCCCTTCTGTAAAATGGAGTTAAAAACTGGGGGGAAAGAGCAAACAGATGACAGGCAAACACTCGTACAACACGATTATGTTGTAACCTCATTTCCCTAAGGAGCTGTATATTTTTGTGAGTAGTTGGTATTTTTAGAGATTGGATGTTTGACTTATTTTTAAATGCGAGTAAAAAGATGCGTAGAAATGATCACAGAGAGGTGGCACCACTCTTTCTCTGAGTAAATAGCCACAAAGCCATTCCAGATTGCCATATTCCACAACATACATATCCTAACCCTACTGCCTATACCCCTTGGATTAGGCTGCGCCCCAGACGTTGAGGACCCAAAGTGCAGAAGCCCTGTAGCAAACAAGCCTGCCTCCCTTGTATAGTAGTCACCAGGATTGCCACGTTTATGCCATCTAGACATGTTAACATTTGAAAGAGAATTTGAAATTGAAGGAATGAATCCTACTCGACAAAACAAAAGACAACACCAGTTTCTCCCTGGGAATGACCCTGGCGGTGTCAGTAGAATTGCAATGTGTTAATTTATTCCAGCATTTCTGAGCTGGGGGGTTCTCTTTAATAATATATGTCAAATTTCCTCTATAATGACCTATTAAAATTCTAGGGCTGACTCAATGCAGCTATGATATCTTCGGTATCCTGCAGCATAGTTGGCAGAGCAAGTACACACTTTTCATTTCTTTACTCTGTTTTTCTTGCTTGCTTGTCACTTCAGTTTGCCCATGAGTGTTTGCCTTGCGCAGTTCCCACCCAGAAAGAATGCTAGGGCTGGGTGGTAAATAAGGGACAAAGATAGTATTAACATAGATAACAATGAGTTTTTGTGGGTGTGGCTTTTCAGAAAGAAATTTTTGAAGAAATTTTGTGTCATTTGACATTTTATAGCTTTTATTAAGCAAAATAAATTTATATGTTTGCATTTTTATTCAAATCAATTAAGCTAGAGGCAGGGTTTTTTTTTTCTCAGTTTTGAAATTCATAAAGGTGTGACTGAAAAGAATTATTTTCCCTGACATTAAAATGTTAAATCATCATCAGAACTTGCCTTTGGGCTCACAGGCAATAATGTGTGCATCTCCTGTTCTCCGTTTTACTTTTGTCTCACATGCATAACGTAAGACCCCTACTTTTTTCAAAGAATGTGCATCTTTCTAGTACTATGTAGTTTGGACAAATTTAGCTAATAAGTTACATGTGCAACTAGTCCTTGCTGGTTAGAGAGTTCTTGGTATTTCTCCTTTCATTTTTCCCTTTCCAACGTATACATTCTACAAAGCTTGAAAGCTTTGGAAAGGACTAGATGTAACTTAATCACTTTTATTAATAATTTAGAAATATTAACTTGGACCTAAATTTTGTTTTTCCCTTTCTCTTTGTCTTTTCTGGACTAAGAAAAGTATTTCTAGCAGTGGCAAAAATACTGGCGTTGTCCCACAGTGCCCAGAAACCATAGGAAAGAGTAGCCAGTGTAAATGGCAAATGAAATTTTTAGTCATATTGTGTGAACTCTGACTCTCACCAAAGTGAGTGAGGCTGGAATTCCCTCATGGTATATCTTTGTGCTATAAAATATCATGTTGTCTGATTGCTACAAAAGTTCTGATTTTATTATCTAACACTACTTTCTGCTTGTCTTTTTGTCGTTGTCCCTCTAGTCATGTGAATTTTCAGCCCACCCAGCTTGACTGAGCATTTCTGTCTGGAAGCATCTTGGGAGCAGCTTTCTTCTGAGGTACCTGGTACTTGCTGCTTTTGCTTGAGCATCCTAGAAATTCAGGGGTCATCTTAACTTCAAAGGTATGAGAACTACTGCACTCAGATAAACTGTAGTTTGAGAGATGAATAATCAGCTGCTTACAAGAATATTTCAGTGGCCTTCCCTGCGATTCTGTGTTGCTGTTGTTTTGTTTTACTATTTCTAAATACTCTGTAATGGATCAGCTCCTACAAATTACTTAGAGGCGTCCTCCAGGCTAGACCTTTGCCCAGCTTTAAAGATAGTTTTCCTGGGTTTCATTAGGTCATCAGATCACTGCTTATTATGAGTCTAAATCACCGAGACTTAAGTGATGCAGAGAACCTAGCTAACTCACAAAAGCTGAGGGTATCCAAGTTGTTATGGTCTGGCACATAACTGTCCTAAGAAGGAGTTAAATATTACATGGAGCCGGGAATCCCCATGTCTGAGTTCTGCACCAAAGACATTGGATTCCAAATCATCACAATTGCTTGTTTTTCCGAAAACACAAACACCCTTCTGACCTCTCTAATTTTCTGATATAAACTAAGAATCGTTTCATGATAATCAGAGTCAAGTATCAGTTCCAGAAAGCCATCGCTATGCATTATAGGCACTTATGCACATTAAAAAACAAAACAAAACAAGCAATCTACCACTTTCCAGGATTAATGCTATGAAACATTTTATGGGTGGTCCACAAGTGGACAGAATGTTGCACTAATGTGTGACTGCATGGCAATTAAGCTTAATTAGGGAAGGTTTTGAAAAAGACAGATGAAAGTAAATTATGGGAATGAAAGCAACTGTGCTTTTGGGGACCACACTCTGCTACATTAGTTCAGTGAAGTGTTCCTAAAAATGTCCCCTGTCTGTCACATTCTGACACACATCCAACAGTTTGTCAAACCAAGCATTTTCCTCTAGGAGGAGGAATCTCTTAGGAGCACATTCTTCACCCGGTCTCTGCTGAACTCACTGGCTTCTTCAGGAGACAGCTGCACTTCCATAGTAAGAGCAGCAGATGACCCTTAATACGCAGCCATCCGGTTTAGTTTAGTATTGCCTCTTTTCTACATGGAGTAGCAGAGGTAATGATGAATGTGGGTTTTCATTTTCATGTGTGTGCCTGGGGAATTTTTTCACAATTTCATATTTTTAATGCTTTCTCAGATTCATAACTGAGCATCCCATATGGAACATTTGATTCTAGTTCCAGTGATTTTTCCCTGGTGAGAAGACCTCGGTAAGCAGACCTGGAGCAGTTCCCAGGCTTCCACACTGCATGGTTCGAGAGCATCTCATCAAACAGGCTCTTTCATAGCAGAGGGCTTCGGGGTTTCTGTGCTCAGAGACAGACTGTTTCAGGGCTAGGTGCCTATTCCCTCTCCTAGAGAATTTTAAAGGAAACAAAATTTAACACACTGAAATACTCAGTGAAACAGAATTGCTTTTTTCTCTGCTCTGGACTAGATGGTTGTTACTGCAGGCACCATTATAGTATGCTATGGTATATTGGATTTTATTAAATTATGGAAAATAATTAAGTAGAAAAGCAGGAAAAAAAGGCTACACAGTCAGATCTTTTTTTAGCTTGGATAGTGTCTGGTATTGCTTTCCACCAGGACACCGGGATGCTTTTTTTCCCTAATGAACTTTTTATGTCCGAGATGAAATACAGATTCTGCGGACAATTTATTAAGAAAAACATCAGTTTCATGTGAGCAGTTTTCAGACCAATAGGGAATTTATATGTGGAAATCATATATGGGTATAGGGAAACACCTCATAAAAAGAATGACTACATGGTCAGCAGCTGTAATTTATGTGCATTTTTTTTTAATAAAAAAATGTGTGTTCAGACCAATCTTTTCTTTTTTATTGCAGCTCAGCAAGGTAGCCTCAACTGTAGTTGTTTAACCTTCTGACTTACTTTGTTTTGTTTTTGAAAAAAGAAAGCTAAAACCAGCACTCTGTGTTTTCAGTTACGAAGCCTATTCATATGTAAAAGGTGCAGTAAGGACACCTTTCTCCACTGAAGGAAGCTGAAGTAAGTGTTGATAAAAATATCACACATAAAAGAGTGTGTTAAAAATGAAAACAGAGAGACAATAGGATGCTAAATATAAAAAAGAAGCTAGTTCTGGGATTTGATTGCTGAGCATGAACGGCTGTGCACAGATAATCCAGATACACCTCCTTATGCCTAAACTCTGCATGTTAGATAATGTTTGTCTGCACATACACAGATGCAAAATTTGCAAATGATGTGTGTCCATAAGTGACAACTTCCTACAGGTCAAATTTTGTGGAACCAATCCAATTAAAAATTATATTCCTCGAAAGGATTCTGTAACCAAACCTCTAGATGGGAATCTCATATTTAGCACAAAATGCTATTTCTGAAGAGAGATCCCCTTAGCTGGGAACCTTATTCAGATCCCCTACTTGCCTCCACATCTGTGGCTGGAAAGTGAAGGCTCAGCCGAAAGGTTGCTGGTCTGTGAGGTAATGAGAAACTCCAGGGTATGCCTGGATCCGTGGTAATGTAACACCTGGGAGGCGAGCTGGCACAGTCTCCTTGGCAGAGTTGTTACGAGCCCTCCATAGACCCATTCCTTCATGGAGATGATTAGATGTTGGGGGAAGCCTGATGTAGTTATGCAGCAGTAGGTGAACAAACCATTTCCCCACTAAAAGCCTGAAACCAGCATTTATTACTTCCTGTTATGTCACAGAAACATCACTCATCTGTCATTTTGACGATAGCCACTCTCTTTTCATCTTCTTCATCTTCCTGAAAAGCTCTGCCCTGCACCTCTTTTACACATGCTGTAAATGCTCCCCTCCAGCAGGTTTCCCAAGATCTGCAGTATTCCTGCTGCCACCTCCTGCAGCAGCCAGACCTCTCGGAATCCCTGGGACCGACTCTGAAAGGAATTCTCCAACTTGAATAAATTAGTCGGGGCAAAGTCTGGCATTCACCTTTTGTTCAGTTAATGTCAGGGAGAATTCACCTGGATCAGTACTGGCTACTTAACAGGAACCTACAGGGCATTAGGATTTGGCCTTCTGTGATTTGGATCCTTTCTAAATTATAGTTTATGCCAGAATGCTGCAACGTTATGTGTTGGAAGAGCCAGGGAAAAGCAAATTTTTACAGCTCTCGGAGACCTGCAACAGCAGCCGGAGCTATTCTCTCTACTCTCTCCCCACACCGCAAGCCTTCATGAGGCTTTAAAGCCAGGGAAATCGAGGCATATGAAAGGGACCTGCCAAAAAAAATACTAATGGAGCAAACAAGTCCATTATTCCCAGTTTTCTAGGAGACACATTTCAGTCTGTATGTACTATATTTCTGCAAGAGGTGTTTAATATTTACAGGTGAAGGAACTCAGGCTTGCTGGTTTTCTTGGATTCCTTTCTAACCTGCCCTCGTTTCTTTTTTCCCCACCTCCTTCCCTCTTTTGTGGCTTTCCGGTGTAAGTGCCCACAGCAACCCCCTGTTCAGGATCCAGGAGTAATCCTTCACCGCAGGAATAAGGTGGACTTCGGCGACAGCCGCCGAAATGCCAAGATCACACATTCCCAGCGCCCTGCCCTGCCAGCGGCGGGAGGAAACTCCAGTTTATGTTAATAAGGTGTGGAGGGTGGCCAAAATATTTTGTGAGTTTTCCGGCTTGAAAGGGTAATGAAGCTACCTCTGTCTCAGTACGTTGGCACGGGAGCAAGCTAAACAACTGGGAAATGTGTTTCAAAGGAGAAATACAGAGCACAAACTCCCCGGGTTTTGCACTTCCACTGGGGGCTGAGCTTTGCCTCCTTCCACCTTTTTTCCAGGCTGGCGGCTCCCCTTCGCACAAAAAGAGGGATGGATGGGGGAGGGCGAGTGAGCTGTTTCTACGGATTAGCTTCAGGCAGCTCTCACCAGACTGAACGTTACACTCAAAAGCATTTCTTAGTTTATACCAAAATAATGAATTGTTTAGTACGTAAAGTAAACCCAGAAAGTTGTTCCTGTAAATTTGGTATAAAATCTACCTATTTATTAGCTTTGAGCAAAAGAAACCTCCACGCTGCTGCGAGCACGGTCAGATTCTTTGGGCGCGCTTCAAAAAGCTCGCTCTTTTTGTCATTCCTCTCTGACCTCCTCCCTGCTAGTCCCGGGATGAAAAGCAAGCCAAAGATCTGCTGAGAAATGGGCCGAGCCACTGCTGACCTTTGCAAATCCAATTTCTTCAAAGCGAGAGCTAATCGACGTGTTCCCACGCTGTGTATTGCTGAAACGTACGATGCAATTCAAGGAATGAATTCACCATGGTGCAATCTCATTTTGAATCCAGTTTTCTTGCTATGTGTCAGAGGGTGAAGGAGGCAGAGTGTGGTACAAGTTATAAACAGCAGTCACACACAAGTTTCACAAACCACGTTAAGTCTGTCTTTGAAAGATTTTGTACTTTGGAGGGGTTCTTTCCCTTAAAATTTAAAATGCATTAGCCTACTCCCCTTCTACTTTCCTCCCCCTCCAAAACAGAGAGACATTTTGTAGTGATTTAAAAGAAAAATAAGCCAATGAGAGTTTGTACTGCATAATCTCCAAATAGAAAAAAAAAATAGCTCTCTGGGCGTATTATCTGATGTGTAACTGAGGTTACACATTGGAGAGATGTGTCTGGGGAGATTTGCATGCACAGGAGCTGTAGGTGAATGGGATGATGATACAGGAAGAGCTTTAAAATTCATATTTAAAATTCAGATTCTCTCTCTCACTTTGCATATCAGATTTGGTACGAGTGCTATTCCTGTTTTACAGCAGTGAGAGCGGTCCCCTCTGTGCGAAGTTTTGCAATCTCTGCTAGGTACCACAGGTGTGCCTGCAGGATCTGTGCAGGAGAAGCATATTGGCATTCCTAACCTAAATCTTATAATCTTGTTTCAACAGGTGCATGGAGACTGGCCCCCTCCCTCTGTTTTCCAGAAGGAGCTGCTGTTTGTTTCCCGTGCAGCTGGCCAAACCCTGCCTGACCCCAGCGCCGGGTAGCCTGATACACCCGACGTGAGCGAGCGGCGATGCAGTGCAGCCTGCTTACGTGCCCCGAGCGGTGCCTGTTTGCATAACGATGCCACTTTTTGTCTGGGGCAAAAGGGACGGAAGAGGACTCTCATTCCTCATTCAGCTACTGTGGGGCATATGTCACGGGTAGCACATCTCAAGCCATTTCGTCAGCGCCAGAGAGAGGAGTTACGTCATTCCCAGCATGGGGTTGGGTTTGGTGTGCCTCTCTTGGGAGGCTGCCTGTCCAGCTGGGAAGCCGTGGCATGGCAGGCAGCCGCCAAGCTGCTCCACTTTTGGTGCCTTACCACAGGCCTCCCGGCGCATGGTGTATCCCGCCAGTTTGGTCGTGTAGTAGAACCAGGGATATTGCGACCTATTTATTTATTTCATTATCGTCTTCGTTGCACAAATGTAATTCCATTAGAGCTGATGTAATGTAGAATCAGGCCCTTGGGGTAATGGGCTAAACTATATTCTGGCTGTGTAAGCTGAAGACTTTCAGAGGAAGCCTCAATGCTCTCATTTTTTGGTTGTCCTTAGCAGAGCAAATGAAAATATATCATTGTTCTCAAGATTGCTGAATAAAGCAAGTCCTTTTTAAAATTTTATTTCCATAGCCATAAATAGTAAATTTCATCCATTCATGACTGGTTTATAAAAGAGTTTGCTAACTAACCAGATCTGGAGAACTTTCTTTCTCAGCAAGTATTGCAATAAGAGAATTGTTTGTGTTTTTGTTACTTTCCCAATATTTTTGTTGTTCTCTTTCCTAAGACATGATTAGATTTTCCAGTCTTCTGGACATCAAAGATTTTGGAGAAGAGATTGTATAAACTGGATAGGTAACAGCTGTTACCAGACGGATTTACTGGTAGAAAGGGGAGAGGGCTAATTTCTTTTATGTGCTTCCTCCCACTGCTGGCACCTTTCACTGTGGCACACTGTTCCTGTCCTGTGACAGGGAATATCTTTGCACAGAGGGAGCCCTTGTCCACAGGATTACACCTACCTTTGGATTTCGCTGTTATTTATAAGTAACTTTTCCACATGCCTTCATCATAGCTCTTTTACCTGCTGTTCCAGTAGTTTATTAGAGAGAAAAGAATAGGAGAGCAGCTCTAACTGTGGTAGTTAATGGCACTGACTTAGAGATTTTCACTTCTGAGCTTTTCAAGTCAGAATTTTTGTTTGCTCCACTTCTGGACATCTTAGGACACTTTAAAGTGGATTTATTTCTGTAAAATAAAAAATTGTACAGTGAATTCCCCAAGAAAGGCCACACAGGACTGAAGCAGGGTTTCAGCTTGAATAAAAACTGCAGTCTCTCTGCTGCACCCTCCCATTTAACGTGGGAATGAACATTTGCATGAATCCTCTTTATTTCCTCATCTGGTGTAAAATTCCTTGTAAAATTCTTTAGGAAAGATCTTGGAGGGGAAATGCTGATTTGTAGTATTGCAAAGTACTAGCTGGTAAAATAGATTGTGTGCGTGTATGACAACGTGATTTTTGCATATTACCATGCCAACAATATCTGATCCCATTCAGATAACAGTAAAGCGACCTACAGCTTTGACCAGATTCAAAGAAAGTCACACTACTTCTACTCTTTCTTATTTTAGGTTTGATCTACTTGCTTTCACATTTGCATGTTGTGTTTTAAAGTACCCACCCTCACGTTTTTCAAGCTTCAGCAAAAGACAGCACTTTCAATATTTATTGTCTGCAAAAAATGTCCTATGAATATTCTAAGACATCCAATCTGATCTAAAAATTTAAGAGGGCCTGGCAACTAGTCTCCTTCTTCCTGAGGTAACCGGGATGAATACTTTTGATCCTTCCCTGCTCTGAGCAACTTTAGAGTCTATTGCTATTGCAGGAGAAGAGACTCTGGCTTCACCCAGTTTGTGAGGATCCTCAGACCTTTGCAAAAATGCTCAGTTTCTCACAGAGTTTGACCCTTTTCTGAAAGCTGGCCTGGGGGCACTGGGCACCTCATCTGGGAGAACACCACTGGAGCAGATAATTCATGTCAAAGGCAGCTGGGCTGCTGTCGGAAGACTGAATCCTGGCTGGAGAAGGACAGAACAGAAGCCATGTCCAAAAAACCATCTCTAATGTGATTTTGGGTTCTTTTTTTCATTACGCTCTAGGCCTCAATTAATTTCAAACGTTTTTCTTCCGTCTCCTTCATTTGCTCCCTGACTACTGCTCCATATATTTAAAGCTAATGACCCCGAAAAGAGAGGAAGTCCTTTTAAAAGAGCTACTGAGCTTTTGTGCTAAGCCCAGAATATTTTTTTCTGCACAACCAGTGGAGAAATGAGAACATCTCTGCCAGCTTCAAGGTGAAATTCTCCATCTTTAGTGAGTGTTTAGACTGCAATCAAGATGAAACTTCAAAGGCAAAACTACAGAGGAGGCTCACAGGCTAGGTGGGCAGTTTGCTGCAGGAGCAGGGAAATAAGCCTTATCCACTGCTCCTCTTGTAGTGGGAATTTGCCATTCAGCTGGCACTGTAAACACAGCAAAGAGGTTTTATCACGAAGAAGAAGTCTGAAAAGGTGTCAGTTTGCAAAATTGAAGGAGCTGGCAGGATTTAAATTCCAGAAACAAAACTGCTATGATAATTGTTTTCCCTTTTGTTCATTTTGTCTGATTATAGTCCAGAGCGAAAAATATTTCAGTAGCTTGCAAAGCTGGAAGCTAACCAGGTTATCAAAATGAGCTCCAGCTCACTGAGGGATAGCAAGAAATATGTTTTTCTTCTTTAGGATGTTGTTAATAGTTTTGTATTGCTTGCCAGCTTATTAAAACTTTGATTTGATTTGAGAGGAGGCGGCTAATTGAGGAAGATCCTTGATTTTTCTTTGAAGAAAACAAGTTTGCTGTGTACAATTCATACAAATAGGGAAAGAGGTGTCTGACTAATAATGAAAGGTACGGTGAAATCTAGATTGCAGTCCCTGTTTTACACATAGCCCTTTCCATACGCCGAGTTAGGACCTGGGCAGGTGAATGTCACCCTAACAGCCTACTTACACTGAAAAATTACTCCTGTTATCTTGGGTTCCCCAGGCCCTGTACTAGCACACACAGAATTAAACATACTTAGCGCTTGTACATTGGTAAAGATTGGTGTAAATCACAACCTTTTAATGATATGTTAAACAGGACAGCCTCTCGTATCCAGAAGAGGAGATCTTGTAGGTAAGCCTAACAATCAGGAGGAACTTGTGCCGGTGGCCATGCCAAAAGATTGCTAAGCTATGAAAGCAATAGAAAATTCAGGTACAGTATCTCACAGACTACTGTAATTTTTAAAGTGAGATTTTTGAGCTTTTGTACAGGTAAAGTAGGTCTAGTTAAAGCTACATGAAATATTTTTTTCGCTTCACTCTACAAGCTGTTTGCACAGGAGTTACAGGCCTAAGTTACCAGTGCGCTGTTGATAGACATTGCAATCATTATTTTTACTACTTCCTTATCATTTATTTGGAGCTCTGCAGTGACAGTAATAACAATTAAAAAAAAAAAAATCATTAGCTTGACTAAGTATTTGCCACAAAGGAACGCTTATTCATGGTGACTTTAAAATGTCATAGCCCTGCTCTGAAGTGGTACAGAAACTGTGAAGTTTAATGTTTATAGCCAACAGGGGATTAAAGCTTTGTGGCTCTGGTACTCCACTATGAACACATAACAATATTTTTCTTCTAACATAGTTGCATCTTGTTGTGGTTTAACCCCAGCCAGCAACTGAGCATCACACAGCTGCTCACTTACTCCCCCCATGGTGGGATGGAGGAGAGAATCGGAAGAGTAAAAGTGAGAAAACTTGTGGGTCGAGATAAGAGCAGTTTAGTAATTGAAATAAAATAAAATAGTAGTAATCATAATAATTAATAATAATATACAAAGCAAGTGATGCACAATGCACAATGCAATTGCTCACCACCCGCCGACCGATGCCTAGCCCGAGCAGCGGCCCCCCCGGCCAGCTTTCCCCCAGTTCATGTACTGGGCATGGCGTCACATGGTATGGAATATCCCTCCGGCCAGTTTGGGTCAGCTGTCCTGGCTCATTAGCTTGACTAAGTATTTGCCACAAAGGAACGCTTATTCATGGTGACTTTAAAATGTCATAGCCCTGCTCTGAAGTGGTACAGAAACTGTGAAGTTTAATGTTTATAGCCAACAGGGGATTAAAGCTTTGTGGCTCTGGTACTCCACTATGAACACATAACAATATTTTTCTTCTAACATAGTTGCATCTTGTTGTGGTTTAACCCCAGCCAGCAACTGAGCATCACACAGCTGCTCACTTACTCCCCCCATGGTGGGATGGAGGAGAGAATCGGAAGAGTAAAAGTGAGAAAACTTGTGGGTTGAGATAAGAGCAGTTTAGTAATTGAAATAAAATAAAATAGTAGTAATCATAATAATTAATAATAATATACCAAAGCAAGTATGCACAATGCACAATGCAATTGCTCACCACCCGCCGACCGATGCCTAGCCCGAGCAGCGGCCCCCCCGGCCAGCTTTCCCCCAGTTCATGTACTGGGCATGGCGTCGCAT